CAGTTCTGTAATCAGTTTCAGAATCAGTTCCAGAATCCGTTCCATGATCAGTTCCAGAATCAGTCCCAGAATCAGTCCCAGAATCCGTTCCATGATCAGTTCCAGAATCAGTTCCAGAATCAGTTCTGTAATCAGTTTCAGAATCAGTTCCAGAATCAGTCCCAGAATCAGTTCCAGAATCAGTTTCAGAATCAGTTTCAGAATCAGTTCCATAATCAGTTTCAGAATCAGTCCCAGAATCAGTTCCAGAATCAGTTCCAGAATCAGTCCCAGAACCAGTCCCAGAATCAGTTTCAGAATCAGTCCTAGAATCAGTCCCAGAATCAGTTCCAGAATCAGTCCCAGAATCAGTTCCAGAATCAGTCCCAGAATCAGTTCCAGAATCAGTTCCAGAATCAGTTCCAGAATCAGTCCAGAATCAGTTCCAGAATCAGTCCCAGAATCAGTTCCAGATCAGTTCCAGAATCCGTTCCATGATCAGTTCCAGATTCAGTTCCAGAATCAGTCCCAGAATCAGTCCCAGAATCAGTTCCAGAATCAGTTCCATGATCAGTTCCAGATTCAGTTCCAGAATCAGTCCCAGAATCAGTTCTGTAATCAGTTTCAGAATCAGTTCCAGAATCAGTCCCAGAATCAGTCCCAGAATCAGTCCCAGAATCAGTCCCAGAATCAGTTCCAGAATCAGTTCCAGAATCAGTCCCAGAATCAGTCCCAGAATCAGTTCCAGAATCAGTCCCAGAATCAGTCCCAGAATCCGTTCCATTATCAGTTCCAGAATCAGTTCCAGAATCAGTTCCAGAATCAGTTCCAGAATCAGTCCCAGAATCAGTTCCAGAATCAGTCCCAGAATCAGTCCCAGAATCAGTTCCAGAATCAGTTCCATGATCAGTTCCAGAATCAGTTCCAGAATCCTGTAAACACTGCACTGATTTTGACCAATATGTGATTTATGTGTAATTGAAAATGAAATTCATTTTGTATTGATATGCCCTGCATATGTAAACAGTAACTCAAAATAATTCACATTTCACTGTCCATTCCTGTGCTAATCCAAGGGATTGTTTGATAACAAAGTTGCAGTCCTCTGATGTAAGTCATCGTAAAATTTAGCAAATTACATTAATGATGCCATGAATCTCTGATCTTCACAACTGTAAATTTGTGCTTTAGCACTCATTTTTAAAATACCTTCATTGTGTTAGCTGTGGGACTGGGATTTAGCACTATATAAATTTTCAGTATTATGATTATTATTACTAATACTGAAATAAAATGAATGATAAAGTATTATATTTGACCAAATAAACTCCAACATCAAGGAAAGGGGTATACTGAGGATACTGATTGTGGTTGGAATGGCCATCATAAAAGAAGGGAAGCACTCATGCTTCCATAAGTTGGTGTATGACTTGGACTTGGAGAAAAGGATTGTAACAATGGGCAGTGTTCACTGAATAGTGTTTCAAAGTAACAGGACATTGGGTCCTGTAAGTTTAAGATGTCTGTCTGACCCATTGAAAATTCACAGGACCCATGGAATAAAATTAAACACACATTTCAGATTTAACATTTCTTATATTTTTATAATTGGCATTGAAATTATTAACAAACATAAGAAAAATTAAGATAAAATAAACAGCAAACAAGTGTCACATGTCACATATAACAACTTCAGTCAAAGTCATTGTGAAATATACAGTTGGACACTGGGGCCGTTGGGTTGTAGACTTCTATCGGACCGTTGGCGAATCTGCTGGATTTGTCAGAGGGTCAGACGCTATTCGTGAACACTGAATGGGTATGTCTAGGGAAGACCCTCTTACTGGTATAGGTATAAACCGTCCTGCACAGGAAGTCCATATCCCTAGCTTAAGTAGTCCATATCCCTAGCTTAAGTAGTCCATATTCCTAAGCTTGAGATATCACTGTGCTGTATTTAGACGCTCTGTTTATACCCTAAGCTTGAGATGCCATAAAGCTGATTAAAGACACTTACTAAGATTCTAAGCTTCAGATGCCACTGATCTGATTATAGGAACTGATTCAAATCCGAAGCTTGTGATGCCACAAAGCTGATTATAGCTGTACATTAAGACCCTAAGCTTGAGATGTCACTGTGCTGTATATAGCTGTTGTATTTAGAACCTAAACTTGAGGTGTCACTGTGGTGATTAAAGATATTAGGATCCTAAATTTGAGATGTCACTGGGCTGATTGTACACACTTACTAAGATCCTAAGCTTAATGCCACAAAGCTGATTATTGCTGCAGACTGAGATCCTAATTTGATGTCACTAAGCTGTTTATAGCCACTTATTAAAATCGTAAGCTTGAGATGCCTATAAGAAAATGGCAGATATACATCAGTGAGTTATTCTTCAGTTTTTATGGTCATTTATGGAAAGTTAATTGTTAAGTGACTAGGAGAACTGTCTGGCCAGGTTGTCTGGTTACAAGACAAGGTTGTCCACAGGTGTCCAGCAGTTGTCCACAGGTGTCCAGGGGTTGTCCAAAGGTGTCCAGGGGTTGTCCAAAGGTATCCAGGGGTTGTCCAAACGTGTCCAGGGGTGTCCAAACTTGTCCAGGGGTGTCGAAAGTTGTCCAGAGGTTGTCCAAAGTTGACCAGGGTTTGTCCAAAGGTGTCCAGGGGTAGTTCAGGGGTTGTCCATGTTTTTTTCAGGGGTTGTCCGGATGTTGTCCAAAGCTTTCCAGGGGTTGTTCAAAGGTGCCAATGGGTTCTTCAGTGGTTGTCCAGGGGGTTGTCCAAAGGTGTGCAGGGATTGTCCACAGGTGTCCAGTGGTTGTCCAGAGGTTGTCCACAGGTGTCCAAAGTTGTCCATGGGTTGTCCAAGGTGTCCATGAGAAGTTCCGGGGTTGTCCTGATGTCCAAAGGTTTCTCAGGGGTTGTCCAAAGGTGTCCAGGGGATGTTCAGGGGTTGTCCAAAGGTGTACAAGGGTTGATCAGGGGTTGTCCAACGGTTGTCCATGGGTTGTCCATGGGTTGTTCAGGGGTTGTCCAGGGGTTGTTCAAGGGTTGTCCATAGGTTGTTCAGGGATTGTCCATGGGTTGTCCAAACGTGTCCAGGGGTTGTCCAGGGGTTGTTCAAGGGTTGTCCATGGGTTGTTCAGGGGTTGTCCAGAGGTTGTCCACGGGTTGTCCAGGGGTGTCAACGGGTCACAGGGTGTCCTTACCCTAACTTGATTATGTACTGTATGTTAAAGTGTTCACTAATAAGCTAATGATCCTCAGTTGTTTGCCTACCATGGCGATTCCATGTAAAATTTGCTTGGGAAACTATGATGGTCAAAAGAGATAGCTTGAGGGTTGACTCATTGTTGGTTGATTGCAAGTCATCATACACCTTGGGCTTCAATCGCTGTTCATGATATCTATCAGTAGATCATCTGGTCCAGATTTGATTACTTAAAGATAGCCATGATATAGGTGCGGAGTGCAGAATAACCATCAAAAAATGCAAGGGTATACTTATGCATTGGGATGATTTGATCAGTGGATATAATTTTCTCCTTCAAAATATGATTTTATTGTAAAGGTTGATTGCAAAATTTGTTTATGAAAAAATATATCGCGAACCAGTGAAACTGTGCATTGCATCAAAGTCTGATTATAATTGTTTCACAAGAAATTTGAACGTCAAACTTACAAGTGGCTTGAATCCCTCACACGTCCTATCAAACTAGATGCTATGTTGTGTGACTGACATGTCCAAGTTACATGCCTTTTGGAAAAACACCCTCTTGGAACACATCAACATTTCAAGACATTTGTTTTTGTCTTTACCATGGCAACCAGATTTCCATTACATCACAAGAACTGGTGTCCATGCTGATTATATGTGAAATCACCAAGGGGTCCAGTCTCACTGGTATATATTCATGAGAACTGTTTTATGAAGAAGACATTTTGTCATCCCTCTCCTCCTCCTCTTACTCCTCTTCCTCGTCACCATCATCATTGTACATCATCATTAACTGTCATATGATGTACATGCTAAGTTATGTTGTTGGTGAATGTTGTTTCATGCGTTAGCTATGATTACTCCAAAAGATGCTTGTGAGTGGCATGACCTTACCTTGTAGCCTAGTGGTAAAAGCATTTCCTGTCATGCCAAAGACCCGGGTTTGATTTCCCCACATAGGTACAGTGTGCAAAGCCTGTTTCTGGTGTCTCTCGCCATGATATTGCTGAAATATTGCTAAAAGCGGCATAAAACACTCACTCACTCACTCACTCACTCACTCACTCACTCACTCACTCACTCACTCACTCACTCACTCACTCACTCACTCACTCACTCACTCACTCACTCACTCACTCACTCACTCACTCACTCACTCACTCACTCACTCACTCACCTTTGTTTGCAGAAACTGGCAGAAGTACAGATAAGCTGCGTATCTGGGTAAATTATGCAAATATTTATGAGAAAACTCAATTACTATTAAGACTATTGCGTACCAGTACGCTTGAATTTTTGTAAATACTCAATAAATGTGATCTTACATGCGTACACACAAAAAATGTCAAATCTTAGCTTTCATACCGGTGGATAGATAAAATAACTGAAATATACTGAGAGGTTCTATTTCAGGACACAACTTGCAGTCTTTCTAGTCGTTTCTCATATTACAGATCAAATATGAATAACGAACACTAACATCTGAACTTTATTATATTTTTAAAATTAATGGAAAATGGCAAAATACCCAATTGAGTTTGAGTGAGGTGAGTACAGTTTATTTGGTTACTCAAAGGAAAATTAGGAAACCCAATTAGGGTTGAAGACAAACGAGTACATAACTCAAAGACCCAAAAGTTATCTGTAGCTCTGACTGGTCCCCCCCTGCCCTATCCCACAGTAGTACTGAGTCGGTGTTCCATTACAGTCTGTGTTAAGCAATGGTTGAAATTGATATCTATTTATGAAATCACAGATAACCATTTAATTTTATGACATTATTTTTCTATTTACCTGTAGGTTCTAGTCGAGATGTGTCAGAGTGGAGGTTTGAGAGCCTGGAACAACTGCAGGAGTCCAGCTCAGATGAAGATGAGTTCTTCGATGCTCAAGGTGAGATGTTGTTTGTAAATGTAACAATGCCCTATGCATTTCTTATTTTGCAGGCTCACTGAGACACAGAGATACCAAATTTAAATTTGTACCTTCACAATTAAACATCTGCACACACTAACAAGATGATTGGGCAGCATTGTGATCCTGCTTCTGAGTGGCCTGCTCTCTGGGCATGGGAGTCCAGGTGGATCACAGCAATAATCTCTTTGGCGTAATGGAAATCTATGATCAAAGGTTGCGAATCTGGTCTGCCTGATTATGTTTCCAGGCTTGTCAGCACCATACACCTGCAGCACCTTTCTTCACACAGTAAGCTGATATACTGGAATACTGTTTAAAACAGCTCACTCACTTGCTCCTTTGTGCTCAATGTGGTATTCTGCTATGATCCTTCACCGAGCAGCCCACAATTATGGCGTAACATTCCCACTGTATATTATTCCTGTGGTTTCCACAGACACATACAGAAATGAAAATGAAAATTCAAAAAAGTCATTGCTATCCCTAGTGGTATGCATGAAGAGTTACAGAGTTATCTCCCATGGCTGTGATGTCACAGCATTGTTATTTAAAAAACTTTCATAATTTTTCTGTATGGATCATACAACACGTGTCTCAGAAGTGGAAGTGAATTCTCTCGTCTTCAAGTTTTGATCTTCATCTACTCATCCTAGATTGGTCAGTTCAGTCTTTTATGATCCTTCACTGAGTAGATTATTGTTCGTATTCATTTAGATGAAAGATAACTATGGCATATCTTTCATCCCACAGATGAAAATACTCTCTGCTTCATGAAGCCATGTGTATTTAACTTGTACAATGCTGTGACAATTTATGGTGGATGGTGGGTAGGTTTGATTACAATATAGTTTCACCCACATCCAAGTTGGTTGAAGGATGCATTGATTTATGGTTCTTTATTGACACCTCAGGACAAATCATTGTACCTTTATCAATAAATTACTATAGAAATAGTACTGCCACTTAAAAGTATCTTCATTGAAAGGTCATGTTCACAGAAGACATGGTGTACAGCGCAGAAAGTTCAAGGAGTTTCTGCCTTGAAGCTCAGATAATGATCAGCCATAGATTATCAGCTCAAATGTTTCCAGAACTTTCAGGCTGTGGACTCAAAACATTTCTTTTGTAACAGACTGATGAAGTATTGTTTTGTATTAACTGTAAAGAACACCCCAAGGGAATACATAAAGAAACAATGGGTAAGAAACTGAAAATGAAGAGGAATTAGAAGAGTGATGAAGCAATACATTGCATGACACATGTCATATATCATTCCTACTCGGTGTATAAATGGTTTATATCCAGTCTCGTAATATCCATCATGTTGGAAGTAACTACATTCTATTGCAGTGGTAGATTAGATCCAGAATTTGATGTATTTTCTATTTAACTGTTGCCAGGCAACCCTTCCTCTGCTGCATCAATAAATCCTTTATATCGCAGGATGAGGATCCCTGTGCCTTCCATCCGAATAGTTTATAGATATTAAAGTAGCAGTGTGCCTTCATGACCTGCCAGGCTGGTCAATGGAAGATTATTTACTGTATTGTTTTTGTGATAAGGAAATAATGTTGCCTGTGTTGTGGACAAAAATGATACCCAGGAATAGAGCCCTTCCTGTAAAAGTGGACTTATGGCTTCCATCATGTTCTAGGAATACGTCTTCATTGGACTTTATAGGCGTATTTGTCCTAATCTTAATGAGCTTTCTTTTTATGACAGTGATAATTGGCTGTATTTGTGACTCAACTTGCACGAAAGTCTATAGGTTTATGGGATATTGCCCTTGAAGTTGGTCCTATCAGGATCCTGAACTGTTTAGTCCTTAGGTTCCAAGGTTGAGGTTGTGAAAGTTGCTTGAGATTTGTCAGAATTCCCTTGCATGTGACTACAATGTCTGAAGTTAAGAATGTCAACATTCCATGTCATTATCGTATTTGGGTAACAGGAGTCATATATTACAGTATAAAGATCCTCAGATCATATGTATCCTCATGATTTACTGTCCTTCGTTGACAAGTTTTTCTACTTTACCTATAATTATTATTAATATATAACTTGATGTAGTCCCGACATAGCTGAAATACTGCCGATGTGACCTTAACTCACTCACTCAGATCATGTGATATCTGGTCACAAGGAGAATGGGTAGGTCCCTAGTAGACATGACATCAGATATTGATCACAGTGGGTGACCTTCACCATTCCTGCAGTTGACCACTTTGATCATGTTTCTTATTCCCCTCACTGACTATTAAAAGAAAAAAACACCAGATGACTCAATTATTGATTTCCTCAAAGTCCCTTTGAAATTCTACTTCCACTCAGGAAGGAGGAAGATCAGTTGCAGTATAGCTCTGTTAGTTATCTTCTCGACAATGCTTAATTACTTGCTGTTAGGTCATCTACGTCATCAGTTTTAACTGCATGTATATATCACTTAGAGTGCTCATCATGATCCCTCAGATTCCTGGACATGGTCAGTTGAGTGAAGACAGCAGACCAACAGTGACAAATTTGTCTCTGATCGTGTTCAAACACTCTGATTTAGCAAAGAATCTTCAGAAAATTAACACCTATTCACTCAGGTTTTCTATGACAAGAATTTACTAGTGAGGTTTGCCCTTGAGTGAACAATCAATTGGGTGTATGTCAAAACTCAAATTACTTTGTGGAGCCGTAAGTGAGAAAATCAATACTGTCTGGGCAGTGCAGCAAACCCTTTCTTGTATAGCCTTGTACCGTACCAGATCAAATATATGTGCAGTGAACCCTCGACGTCTCTAATCTTTTAGCTGTATGCATCACGGCAGCAATAACTTTTGAGATGATTGCTGTCAAGGTGGTGCAAAATCTGCAGATTCCAACATGATGGTTTCAAGGGTTTTCCGTGCCAAGTTCTGCTAAGTGTCGTAAAACTATACAAAAAGTCTTCCTTGATTGGCATTCTAGAAGTTGGGGAGATGAAGAAAGAGGACAACCACTTGCTTGACAACGATATTAGATTTTATGTTGAAATGTCGCAGTAGTAGTACTGTATATCCATAAAAATTGTCCTCTTTATTTATACAAAAAGTCTTTGAGAAAAAAATAAGTAAATTGACGAAATGATAGTGTAATGATGTAAGTTTCTAAAAAATTACTGGTCTTGTATATCGTTGTGTGTTGGTAATCATGACACCTTAATGTCATATTGTTGATAGACCTGCCTGTGGGTGCCCCTGTATTGAAGAGGTTATCCATGACAAGATGACAAACAAACATTTGACTGGCCTGTTTTGTCCCTTGACATGTCCCTTACATACTGTGAACCTGTGAAGATGCAGGTTAGAATTGATCTTCAGTAACCAATGCTTGTCGTAAGACGCGACTAACAGGATCGGGTGGTCAGGCTCGCTGACCTGCTTGACACATTTCATCGTATACCAGTTGCACAGATCGATGCTCATGCTGTTGATCACTGGATTGTCTGGTCCAGATTCAATTATTTACAGACCACCGCCATGTAGCTGGAGTACTGCTGAGTGCAGCATTAAACAACAAACCAAACCCCTGACACAACATCAGAGATGTTCACAAGCCGACAGACCCAGCACATGATAACAAGGCCCAGCTTTGGCACTTCTTCAAGGGGAATCGTGAGCAATACAAAGGCACCCATAGGCAGGTCGAGCAATTATATGCCATTAAGGGATCATCCATACCATACCAACAGGTAGATAAAAGTCTGGTTCGTCCGTAAACATCATGTTTAGCCCAACCCATTTGTGGCCACCTACATGTCCTCATTGGTGTAAAAATACCAATATTTAGTACACAAGGGAGTAAATATATGCAAAGAAGATGGTCAACGTGATCTGAATGATATGTAATTACTCATTGGCTGACAAAGTTACTTTAGGAACCATTGAGTATTAAGGTGTATGGGTTTCTAGAGCTTCAGATGGGATGAGAATGAAATGACTCTTTTGTTCATTATATCCTCTGAGTTCAGCAAGAGAGACTTCATTGTGTTCTCAGATAAGAAGAATGACAGCTCACACAGTTGAATGGTATATTCACCCCTTTATACCTTCCATGGGATATAAACACTGCATTACTTACCCTGATAACATCCATCTCAAAATCATGATAATCTCTGCATTAAACAAGACAGTTTCAAAGGGACCTTGTTCTGGAACATCACAACAGGATTCCTTGCCTTAGAAGATACCAACTGTGAAGGTTCTCCTTTGAGCTTTTTTGTTGGTGCTTCAGAAATGATTATGGAACTGCCTCAGATGGTCTTCTGTTATTAATAATGAAACTCCATGCTTCAAAAGATGATGTTCCCCAGATGGGATACAATCAATTATCTATTGCAGTCAGTGTGTGATCTTGAAATGTGAAGCTGTCTCTCTCATGATGATCTCTGCAGGAATCCCTATACATAAAGGTGGTGAGACAGGCTGCAACAGACTTTGTGGGAGGAAGATGTGGAAGATAATGCATAATGGATTGGTTATTGGCTTTTGATGCCTTACCAAGCATTATTCTGGCATTATGATAGCAGTCATTAAATACTGTAGACTGGTAGTGTATGAAATAAGCCAAAAACTCAGCCAGACATGTGGGCTGGTAACTTCAAAAACTTACCAGCCCAGAAGAGATTTAACCAGTCCTTCTTATATACTAAATAGACAGTGCCAATGGACATGTTATCTGAATAGTTTTTTTCTCCCGTCCATCGGACTGGCTAGCTGTAAAATTAGACCGTCCGGCAGAAATCTAGCCTGTCTCGGGCGGTTGGACAGGCCTTATTTCATACACAGTGCTGAGACTGGATGAAACAACCTTGTGATTGACAGTATGAGCATGGCTGTCAGCGAGTCTGACCACCGATCCTGCTTCTTTCAACAAACGTGGATTGCTGAAGACCTAACAACCAATTGGCGAAATCCTACAGTTTCTAGAGTACTGATTAGACACTATACATAGATAGGTTGCATTGAATCAAGTGTGAGTCTGAATAGTACTTTTGGTTTGACTATAGAGAGTCCTCAGGTTGTGATGTTTTGGAGTTTATGAAACATATTTGTTATGAAAACATGCATTCGGTTATGTCACATGCCACATTCACTCACTTCATCTTAGCACAGTTGACCCAGCTGTCTGAGGTTCTGCAATACGCTGTGCAGAGTTGCTTCCTTTGGGCACACCACTCACTCACTCACTCACTCACCTATGTATGCACCCACACACTACAACCAGTCAACCAAACAACCAACCCACCAACACACCCAACCAGTCATTCCCTATCATAAGTTTACCAACAAACTCTTTTTTTATCTGGAAACAGCTCTCAGTGTTATTCCTTTAGGATCTATACGGTAGCAAATTAACAAATCAGTTGGACCCCCTTGCCTTGTCTATCACTGCGACATGGTCAATGTGTATCTCTTCTTCCAGTCCTCCAGCCATCAGTGTATTTATCCCAGGGAAAGGATGTATGTTTGTGTCGCAGTGGAACCTGGGATAGAGGCTGTCACCCAGCTCGTGGCTTGTCTTTCATGTAAGGATGGATGTGTCATCTGGTGTTCAGTACATCAGCAGACTTTCACATTGACTTAATGATGCGTCAGTTCATTACAGGGCAAGATGAAGGACTGGCTGTCAGAAATATAGGGCCAGAGGAGTCATTTGCCTCAGAAATTGCTGACTGTATGCTTTTTCAAGTCATAAGCTTCTGTCCGTAATGATTTCTCTTCGGCTGGATCGCTGTGATGCAGCCATGTTGAGAAGGTTTTCTTTTAATACTTTATTCCAGCAAACATTTTCATGTTGAGATATGTGCAAAATTTAAAAGTATTGTTATCCTGATTGTTTGCCAGTTGGAACCTCAGTATTTCCATAAGATGATCGAAACGGGGGATTGGGTGGTTAGTCAGCCATGTTCACTCACTTTTATTGCAAATCCTGTTTTACAGCGTGTGTATTTTTTTTTTTTTCTTTTAAAGGGATCATAATTTACAAAACAACAAGAAAAAACAACCGATGTAAGAGAATCTTTAAGTTGTCACCAGAATCACACTAAGTCATCCAAAATATATATTATAACTGTTGTAACTATTTTATACAGGAAAGGAATTTTCTGTGAATTCACAGAATTCCACAGATTCATCATGGCAAGCGTCACGATTGTCATCCATGCCTTTACAATATACATAAAAATCATACCCTCCTCAAACCCCATAACTTTCAGTGTTTCTCACAAATAACTTTCTCTAATCTGTTTTTATGTCTTCAATAAAACCTAGTCACCGCTCTATAATCTTTACATTCTGTGCTTGAATTACTGACAGTCATGAGGCTGTGTGGAGTCAGATGATACTATGTGGAAAACATGGTGCGCTGAATAATCAAGTCGTGTCTGATATGAGATTTCAGCCATGGGTTTTTCTGGTGCCTTGGAGTACCTGAAGGAATCGGTTTATTTATCGTTGTCTCATATCTTTGTATCAGATTGGTGGCCTTGTATGAGGAATCTGGATTTCAGTGACTGCATTATCAAGTAGATGGTTTGGAGATGTTTCAGTACAGGAGAGAGCTTCATTGTTTTTTAATGGACTATATGTGAAATCACAATGTACTCAGCTGTCTTGGACGTGTTGCATGGCTGTATGTTTGATCCAATATGTTCCAATCTTGAGTATGTAGTTGTTGTTTTCTGTAAACGTCATATACTTATTTACTGTGTTATCACAATTATCCTGACATTGTGAATGTGTTACATGTTATATGCTTGGTTTTGTGTTGCAGTGTTCTAGAACAAATCCATCGCGCTGAAGCCCCGGGTTCAATTCCCCACATGGGTACAATGTGTGAAGCCCATTTCTGGCATCCTTCACCATGATATTGCTGGAATGTTGCTAAAAGTGGCATAAAACCATACTTTCTCACTCACTCACTCCAGCACACATCATTGAATAATGAAGACAGGCAAGAACTGATATCGACATTATTCTGCTTGGCCACATGTTTTGGTTGGTTGTTGTTCAATGCTGCGCTCAGTTATGTGTGACGGCACTACAATGCAATACAAAACACGAAGGTCCAGTGATTGACATCATAAGCATCGCTGCATGTGACCCATCGGTGAGTCTGGCCACCTGATCCTGTCAACTTCAGGAGTATGGAAGAGTGAGTGAGTTTAGTTTTACGCCACACTCAGCAATATTCCAGCTATATGGCGGCGGTCTGTAAATAATCGAGTCTGGACCAGACAATCCAGTGATCAACAGCATGAGCATCAATCTGCGCGATTGGGAACCAATGACATGTGTCAAACCAAGCCAGCGAGCCTGACCACCCTATCCCGTTAGTTGCCTCTTACGACAAGCATGGGTTGCTGAAGGTTCATTCTAACCCGGATCTTCACGGGTGTCAGTTTCAGGAAGGACATGTGATATTTCCTAGAGGACAACAGTTTTTAAAGCTATGAAGTTGGCAACTCTGCAGCAGATCATTATTGCAGACGAGTGACATTAAGATTAATTTATAACTGTCCTTATGTTTTGTCTTTAAACTGTGTTTGTGGACAGTGTCTTCATCATATCTTCATCAGTTTCATCATGATGAAAGAAGGGGCACCTGCTCCTTGCGTGATGCTCAAGCTGGATGTACAAGCTAAACATGCACCCATAATGCCTTGTGTGATGAACAAGCCAGTAGGTAGTGGTGTCTGAGCCTCAGATTTTCTCAGATAAATGGATGTATGTGGAAGACTATATTGATTTTCTTCTGTGTTGAGCAACTCTTGTAGATCTTGATATGACAGCTCTGGGGTGACACAGCCCCATCTTATTTCTGTGGCATCTTGAGGTTCAGTGAAACCAGAAATCCATATTTTCTTGTCTGCCACATTGTCGGAAAATAGGGCCTGTTTATTGGTCCGAGGTTAAAACCTGCTCTATGACCATTTGAACAGAGCTCCAGACTGGTGTCTGAGACAGACTGAGCCAGTTGTCCTTCAGTGGAAGTTGTATTTGTCCTGAAGGTTTATGGATTTACCATCAATATCAGGGTGTTTAGGGAATGTCTTATGGTTTGTCGTAATGTTTCTGTGTCATGGTTCTTCTTAAATCTTTTCTTGTTACATTGACCATTAGTCTGCAAGGAGCTGTGGTCTTCTATTTAAGTTATTGTGTTTAAAATGCAGCTACCTCCTCTGGTGTAGTGGATAGAAGTGCTTGATGTCATACTAAGACATGTTGAAAGATGTTACTTGTTACTCTGCCTTGCACTCAGCATCGTGGGTATAGAACCAGGACAGTTTGGCTGGGAGTCAGGACACATGTTATACATGTTCACCTGCATGCACTGTGTGGATACATTATAAACCAGCAATCAGTCTTTCCCAATCCGCAAAGGGTTTGTAATGTTACGACCTGTCGTAACGCTATAGTTTATCATAGGCTTATGAATGTCGTAGACCCCGTCGTAACACTATAGTTTATCATAGGCTAACGAATGCCGTAGAACCCGTCGTAACACTATAGTTTATCATAGGCTAACGAATGTCGTAGAACATTTTGTTGATTGGGACCCTGGACTAGTACAAGCCACACACATCATTATACCATTGGTGTAGTCTTGAACATGAAGTCACCTCACCTAACAGTCAGCAAGGAATGTATACCCCCAGGGAGTTGAGAATACATTGATTCACTAACCTAAATGAGATGTGCCTGGAGCATGTCCTTCAGTCATGTGGTGGCCATTTCTGACGAATTAGAATGCCACTTCAACTTTGGCATTTATAGAAAAAGAGACTGTCACAGGAAATTAGGTATTTGAAACTGCATAGTAAAAGTAATTTTGGTTATGGATTCCTAGAGATGGAAAGAAACCGTTTGTGTGTGATCATCATTAAGATCACAATATAAGATTTGTCAGCAACATGACATTGTGCATCTCTGCCAAGAAACTGCTTCTTTATTAACCTGGTCAATGGTCAGTACGTAGTTTCATGCTGAGCTCCTGGGGTGTGTCCTGCCAAAGTTAAGTGTAGAGAGATATCGTTATTGTATATCATGTCTATATCAGGCAGACACTCAACGAATCGACTCTTTCTTACAGGTAGCCTTGTTACTTAGTCGAACAGCACTTCTAAACAATCACATAGTGCACACTTTCAACTGCTGTGTGTAGCTTGTGTGTAAGGTAGAAATTCCCAAGAAGCATCAGCCAGACCAATATCACATTGATATCTCCTGTTTGTATTACAAGCATGTGATAATCATTTATTTCCTAATATTTGTATTACATGACTGCTAAATGTGGCTTGTGTTTAGTGTAGAAGTTCTCAAAAGGCATCAGCCACACCAACATCACATTCTCCTTCTTGTATTTCAGAGGGTATGGAAGGTGAAGGTGAAGAAGGTCATAGAGGTCGAGGGATGGTGCGGTCGTCGTCCATGGAGATGGTGTCCAGTGGGGACGAGTATGCTGATGCACTGTCAGAAGGTATGATCTTCAGGTGTAATAAGTGATGGTACCATAGATGCTCTTCCAAAGTCCACTGCCCAGTAGTAATGTCCTGATGGTAAGGAAGATTCTCAATAGATAGTTACCACTCATGACTACAGTCCGTTTGAGTCAGAAATGGACCGATGAATTGCAAATTTTATCATTGTACAAAATTGCCACATAAATATAAATAGTACACATGTTTATCATTTACTAATACCCAACAGCTTTCTTATATTTGAAAATTTTGTGGACTCCACCAAAAAAGTTCTTTAAGAAACTATCATTAAAATTTTGACACTGTCCATATTTGTTATGAGGGAGGAGTGCAGAGAAAGGGCCACCCAGGTGTTAGAGAAGCACGTGCACAAGTGCCCACCAAGTTATTGATTCATTAGCCTGTGCTGTGCCGTCTCCATCCTTTCTCGCACACCTGGCTGTCCCTTTCTCTTTTTCAGGGAACCTGTAATTTCAAACACCTAGTTCTAGTGGCACAGGGTATTACAACAGTTACGATTCCCCCTCAGTCAGCTCCCCCATACCTGAAAAAACTGCAAGGACCAAGGGAACCTGTAATTTCAAACACCTAGTTCTAGTGGTACAGGGTATTACAACTGTTACGATTCCCCCTCAGTCAGCTCCCCCTGACCTCAAACAAACCTCAAGGACCCAGGGAACCTGTAATTTCAAACACCTAGTTCTAGTGGTACAGGGTATTACAACTGTTACGATTCCCACTCAGTCAGCTCCCCCTGACCTCAAACAAACCTCAGGACCCAGGGAACCTGTAATTTCAAACACCTAGTTCTAGTGGTACAGGGTATTACAACTGTTACGATTCCCCCTCAGTCAGCTCCCCATACCTGAAAAAACTGCAAGGACCCAGGGAACCTGTAATTTCAAACACCTAGTTCTAGTGGTACAGGTATTACAACTGTTAACGATTCCCCCTCAGTCAGCTCCCCCTGACCTGAAAAAACTGCAAGGACCCAGGGAACCTGTAATTTCAAACACCTAGTTCTAGTGGTACAGGGTATTACAACTGTTACGATTCCCCTCAGTCAGCTCCCCCATGACCTGAAAACTGCAAGGACCCAGGGAACCTGTAATTTCAAACACCTAGTTCTAGTGGTCAACTGTTACGATTCCCCTCAGTCAGCTCCCCATACCTGAAAAAACACCTAGTTCTGCAAGGACCCAGGGAACCTGTAATTTCAAACACCTAGTTCTAGTGGTACAGGGTATTACAACTGTATTACAACTGTTACGATTCCCCTCAGTCAGCTCCCGATTCCCCTCAGTGACCTGAAAAAACTGCAAGGACCCAGGGAACCTGTAATTTCAAACACCTAGTTCTAGTGGTACAGGGTATTACAACTGTTACGATTCCCCCTCAGTCAGCAACTCCCCCCCTCAGTCAGCTCCCCTGACCTGAAAAAAACCTGCAAGGACCCAGGGAACCTGTAATTTCAAACACCTAGTTCTAGTGGTACAGGGTATTACAACCCCTGTTACTGATTCCACCTCAGTCAGCTGCCCCCATACTGAAAAAACTGCAAGGACCCAGGGAACCTGTAATTTCAAACACCTAGTTCGAGTGGTACAGGTATTACAACAGTTAACGATTCCCCCTCAGTTGTCTCCCCTAACCTCCAACAAATTTCAAGGACCTAAGGAAGCTTTAATTTCAAACACTGGGTTCGAGTGGTAGAGCGAACAACACCCCCCCACACTCGTCTCAGTCATCTCAGTCGTCTCACCCTAATGACCTGGCATACATTTTCCGTATAGCCTTTTTGCCTTTGGCCTCATCGGGGCCTTAGGCAGGGTTCCTTTGTAGTAGGAATCAATATGTTATATATGGACACCTCCACACTTGACATTCTGCTGGGCTCTAATGATGTTATATGTGTTTGTTCCTCAACATAGTACAGTTCTTCTTGTCAATGGCATAGAGGTAGGATGGACACAGAAGCCTCTCACTTCCTGAACAGTTTAAGTTAACTTTCTGGGGATTTCAGAGTGAAAACCGCCATGTCTCAAGCCTTCATATCAATGGCTGTTCTATTTTGATTACAGAGACCAACTTTGGCAGGCGGGTGGAGCAGTTCCGAATGATGTACAGTGTGGATACCTCCCTCCCATCCTCCCTGGACCTGCCGCACCCCCAAACCAGTGGTGCTTGCCCTGTCAAAATACTCTTCCTTGTCCTGCATGGAGGTGAGTCTTTGAAACAGTGAATGGTTTGGTCTGTATGTTTAGTTCTTCAATGGCAGTAGCAGTGTTTGCCAGAGCTTCTACAGTTTGTTGCCAGAGCTGAGGTGTTACAGTTTGTTGCCGGAGCTGCTACAGTTTGTTGCCAGAGCTGTTACAGTTTGTTGCCAGAGCTGTTACAGTTTGTAGCCAGAGCTGTTACAGTTTGTAGCCAGAGCTGTTACAGTTTGTTGCCAGAGCTGTTACAGTTTGTAGCCAGAGCTGTTACAGTTTGTTGCCAGAGCTGCTACAGTTTGTTGCCAGAGCTGTTACAGTTTGTAGCCAGAGCTGTTACAGTTTGTAGCCAGAGCTGTTACAGTTTGTAGCCAGAGCTGTTACAGTTTGTTGCCAGAGCTGTTACAGTTTGTTGCCAGAGCTGTTACAGTTTGTAGCCAGGGCTGTTACAGTTTGTAGCCAGAGCTGTTACAGTTTGTAGCCAGAGCTGTTATAGTTTGTAGCCAGAGCTGTTACAGTTTGTTGCCAGAGCTGCTACAGTTTGTAGCCAGAGCTGTTACAGTTTGTAGCCAGAGCTGTTACAGTTTGTAGCCAGAGCTGTTACAGTTTGTTGCCAGAGCTGTTACGGTTTGTTGCCAGAGCTGTTACGGTTTGTTGCCAGAGCTGTTACAGTTTGTAGCCTGGTATGTGCCATGAAATCAGTTTGGATCAAAGTTACAGAAACTCTGTTGCTACATACTGTACCTTTTACAATACTCTGAGAAATAGTTGGATCATTGCTGACTTCTGAGTGAAACAACACCCACTGATGACTGTGGAGTAAAAGTTGATTGTTCATGAGATGTCCATGCATGTGTGTTCGGCCGCTTGTACTGGTACAAACTTATGCTAGTGTTATAGTGCTGGTACATCATACCACAGTTTAACATTATTACCCTGCCAGGACACAGTTGGAGCAGTGGGGTAGCCTAGTGGTTAAATGTTTGCATATCACGCCGAACAACCAGGTTTGATTCTCAACATAATTACAATGTGTGAAGCCCATTTCTGTGATATTGCTGGAATATTGCTGAAACGAGCATGAAACCATAGACACTCACAGACACAGCATCTTGACTCTGTATTGATATCAGTCCTGGTTCTATCCCCACGATGCTACTGCAAGGCAGGGTAACAAGAAGTAACATCTTTTAGCATCTTTTAGTAGGATGCAGCCAATGAAACCATCCTCGGGCTTCCTCTCTCTGAGCAAACTATTTGTATAAATATGTGTCATGTTTATTTTGAAACCCAGAACAAAAGAGAGTTTAACCATAATTGTAAACCAAAAGTCACTGTGTTTTTTAATCTGATTGGTTGATAAACATGATCAAATGGTATTCGATTCCCGGAAATTCGCCGCATATTAATACATACAAACATCGCTCACACCATTGTATTGTTACGTCGTCAGCTGAGATGACGTCATTCAAATCATATTGTGACGTAAAGTCCGAATGACGTCACAAATGAGCAGTTCCAGATGCTACCAAGGGAGACAGCTGAAACGGCCAGCTGATGACATTGCACTGCTGTACCCGTACTTGATGTCAATGAGTGCAGACACAAAAACGTGTGTGGACCTTTTGGTTTACTTTTGTGTTTACAATGTCGATAAACATCATGTGTTGGCCAATTTCCGGGTGTTATTGAGTATTTGAAGCATGGGAATATTTCATTTGAAACCTCCGGCCGACGCCGTCCGTTCCAAATGAATTCCCGTGCTTCAAATACTCAATAACACCCGGAAATTGTTCAACACATGATGTTTATCTCCTAAATGGCTCCAGTTTGCAATTCTGACCAGGTTTTATTCATGGTTGGGGCAGTATCCCTGTGGTTAAGACTTATGCTAAATGTATGGGTTCCAAGTGTATGTGGTTGCCATAAAAGTTTCCGAGCCCCATGCTCGGATTCGAACCACAGACCTTCTGTTCTGAAGTGACTAAAGAGGTTAACCCCGTTAGCAAGATGACAAGGTAAGGATGTCATCTGTGGGATGACTCCACACTCTGCTACATACTCCCCTCTCAACAGAAGGCACTTCCCGGGACGCATAGCAGGGTACTGAGACTTATTTTGCTCAAATTTCATATGAAAGTGCTCAGCCCCACGTTGGGCGCCAATCAAGCAGTGATGGTCATCCGAAAGGCTGCAGCCATGTGGGCATGAAGTATAGATTGGGGAATGAAGTATAGATCTGTGGGATGACCCTTCGCCCTGCTACATGTACAACATGGAAGACAGTATTTGGTATCCTTGTCCAGTATTATTGTTCGAATGAGATCATACTTTCTTAGTCTTTGCAAATCTTGTTTATTCCTTGGCTGACTTTGTCTTTTCACTTCTTAAATCAACAGGCAGTGTGTTGGATTCTGGTAAAGAACCCACAAAGCGCAGTGATTTCCTGACGTTGAGGTCGACGTTCGAGACTGTGATACAGTCCCACTACCATGCAGCATCCGGCCAGCTGGCATTCCGCCACGTGCCCAGTCCACAGGTCTGCAGTGACACGCTCTCCATACTCTCAAGGTGAGATCTTCAATAAGGGGCAGAGACACACTCTCCATACTCTCAAGGTGAGATCTTCAATAAGGGGCAGGGACACACTCTCCATACTGTCAAGGTGAGATCTTCAATAAGGGGCAGGGACACTCTCTCCATACTGTCAAGGTGAGATCTTCAATAAGGGGCAGGGACACTCTCTCCATACTGTCAAGGTGAGATCTTCAATAAGGGGCAGGGACACGCTCTCCATACTGTCAAGGTGAGATCTTCAATAAGGAGCAGAGACACTCTCTCCATACTGTCAAGGTGAGATCTTCAATAAGGGGCAGGGACACTGTCTCCATTCAATAAGGGCAGAGACACACTCTCCATACTGTCAAGGTGAGATCTTCAATAAGGTGAGAAGGTCTTCAATAAGGAGCAGTGACACTCTCTCCATACTGTCAAGGTGAGATCTTCAATAAGGGGCAGAGACACGCTCTCCATACTGTCAAGGTGAGATCTTCAATAAGGGGCAGGGACACTCTCTCCATACTGTCAAGGTGAGATCTTCAATAAGGAGCAGAGACACTCTCTCCATACTGTCAAGGTGAGATCTTCAATAAGGGGCAGGGACACTCTCTCCATACTGTCAAGGTGAGATCTTCAATAAGGGGCAGGGACACTCTCTCCATACTGTCAAGGTGAGATCTTCAATAAGGGGCAGGGACACTGTCTCCATACTTGTCAAGGTGAGATCTTCAATAAGGAGCAGAGACACTGTCTCCATACTCTCAAGGTGAGATCTTCAATAAAGGAGCAGAGACACTCTCTCCATACTGTCAAGGTGAGATCTTCAATAAGGAGCAGGGACACTCTCTCCATACTGTCAAGGTGAGATCTTCAATAAGGGGCAGGGACACTCTCTCCATACTGTCAAGGTGAGATCTTCAATAAGGGGCAGGGACACTGTCTCCATATTGTCAAGGTGAGATCTTCAATAAGGAGCAGAGACACTGTCTCTCATATTGTCAAGGTGAGATCTTCAATAAGGAGATCTTCAATAAGGGCAGAGACACTCTCTCCATACTGTCAAGGTGAGATCTTCAATAAGGGGCAGGGACACTCTCTCCATACTGTCAAGGTGAGATCTTCAATAAGGGGCAGGGACACGCTCTCCATACTGTCAAGGTGAGATCTTCAATAAGGGGCAGGGACACGCTCTCCATACTGTCAAGGTGAGATCTTCAATAAGGAGCAGAGACACTCTCTCCATACTGTCAAGGTGAGATCTTCAATAAGGGGCAGGGACACGCTCTCCATACTGTCAAGGTGAGATCTTCAATAAGGGGCAGGGACACGCTCTCCATATTGTCAAGGTGAGATCTTCAATAAGGAGCAGAAACACTGTCTCCATACTCTCAAGGTGAGATCTTCAGAGGGGCAGAGACACTCTCTACATTTGGAAAATACTCATGAAGATCCGGGTTAGAATTGGTCTTCAGTAACCCATGCTTGTCATGAGAGGCGACTAATGGCATCGGGTATCAGGCTTGCTGACTTGCTTGACACATGTCATCGTATCCCAATTGCTTAGATTGATGCTCATGCTGTTGATCACTGGATTATCTGGTCCAGACTCGATTATTTACAGACCACCGCCTCATAGCTGGAATATTGCTGAATGCGGTGTTAAACAACCCAGACCATTTGGGAAAACATATATAATGACTTTAACTATTTTTAGTATTGTTCAATGTGAGCTCAACAAATATTGTATCGCTTTGAAATTGATTGTCAAAATGGGAATGTTGAAGTAGTATTGTCCATTCTAAGGTATCCTTCCTGTATGTATCCCTGACTACACAATTTCTGTAAATGACCATGGTTTTGACTTTACTTTAGTATGTACAAATCTGTACAGTGTACATTTACAGTGTCAGAACTTCAGCTCCCAGTGTATCACTATATACATATTGCAATACAGGTACCTGTCTCACAATGTATCACAATTAGTGTTTCAGCCAATACAGAGCCATTTATACAAATATTTCACATTTCCTCTCTGTTGGAATGAAAACGATTGTTGGTTATCTTTCAGCTTAAGCCCATACCATTTTGAGAGCCAGGCAACTATGAATTCTGGTGAGAACACGTTGTCATGGTCACAAGACTTTGTGCCGTTGGGGGCGATAGCTTTGTTTGCATCATCAAGCACAGAGTACCAGGATCATGTGAATACCACAGTGGTCAGAGCCAACCAGGTGTTTCAGGAATTTCTCTTGTCGGATGAAGGAAGGGGCTTTGCAGGACAGGTAAGAGGTCCAATTAGAACAGACACATGCAGATCTGTTGTATATGTTGTGCAGTACTGCAGCAGCTGGCCTGAAGCCCCAGTCTAGTTAAAGTTATAATGGTCTTAGAAGATCATACTATTTTAGTAGTAAGACTAAAATCTACTGAAAATGATGTCATAAGACAGATTTATGCTAATGGACTGAAAAGTATTTGGCACAGACTGAACTTGTAGAAAATAACTGATTTTTGTCTTGTGTTTTTACAAACCTTGACATTATTTTCTACACTTTGGCCAACAATATATCAGTGATTAGATTTTAATCCAAATCTAAAAATTATGTCATTCATCATACTATGTCAGAGCATTAGATGTTGACAGATTCAGTATCTGTGTAAAAGGGCTGTTTGGTAAGACTTCCAATATGGTGAACAATTTCTTACATATGTTTTGGGGGACAATAAAATGAAGGTCGGTGTTTGGCAGTGAGGCTGGCAGAGATTGAAATGCAATAGTTAATTCAGTGTGGCCTTATCTAGCTGAACAATCATAGCCTCAAATATTGGGTAATTCAAAGTCTTTGAATGGCATTTAGAAGTCATACACATAAAGTCGAGAATTTATGGATGTCAACTTCTTTAATTTGAGGAACACAATGAAGGAGTCAGAATATACCAAGGTACTCCAAAATGTCGTGTTCCCCAAATAAAGAAGTTGACATCCATATATTCTCGGCTATATTGAGAAATTCATATAACTGAATGTCATATAATGTCAGGGGCTATGAAACCTTTTAAATGTTAGAAGACATTTTTTGAAAAACGAATTTATGGCCTAATTTCTACCTTAAATATCTTGTAATTCATTTAAGAAATATTTGATGCAAGGAATTATAAAAAGATTTAAAAATGTTTTTTGACATATTTTCTAAAAGTTGTGAAGTTAATTTGGGCCTCATTTTCATCTCCACAGGTTTGTATATTAGCAGACTCTACAGGGTCACTGTTAGCCTATGATGCCCTCACGAGCGCCAATCAACACAGCATGCGAGGTGGGAGTCGATACGGTAGCCACAACAGCCTGGAGGAAGAGGGTGGTGGGGAATCTAAGTCATGTGACCATCGACACCCTGGACATACAACGTTACAGGAAACGAAGCAGCTAAGTCAGAGTGACCCTGACCTTGCCCCTGAAGCAAACACTACTCATCTCCTTGATCACACGGAACGGTATAAGAGAAGTAAAAGTGAGGTTGTCCCCCCTGATTTTATGGAGTTACGCCGCCAAGGATCGTCCCGACAGAACTCTACTCATTTGAGCGTTAATCAAAGTGACAATGCTGCATCTCGAAGGACCAGTACTGGCAGCCATTTTGAAAGTAGTTATACAAAGTTTGAATTTGATGTGTCAGACTTCTTCATGTGTGGGTCTCCGCTGGGACTTGTACTTGCATACAGGAGGTTATTCTCAGGAGAGGACAAAAGTTGTAAGTAACCAGGACAACAGAAAACACACAGAATCTTTCAAACAGTTTGCTTTTGTTTTAACTTCTTTCCTTGTCTACATTAAATACACTTTTGACAAAGTTCTACATTTCTAACTACCTGCAGAGATGAACAATGTTACAGTCAACTTACATGACTACTATTTCAGTAAATAACCCTTATTACATGTTAAAATAATGACTTTGAAAGCCCTTAACAACCAAAAATCTAAGAAATTATATTTTTTTGAACTCATGCAAAGAGAGCAAGTTTTGAATGCAGACAACCTCTAACATTTCTCCCTTGTCGAGGTTCCCCCTTAAAGCTGTTGCCATGTTCCAGGTCCTCCCCTGAAGCCAGCCTGCCATCAGGTGTACAACCTCTTCCACTCCAACGACCCTATCGCCATCCGCCTCGAACCACTTGTTCAGGGAGGATTCCGTCATGTCCCACCAATCAAGATCTCACGATACAGCAAGTTCCCTCTCGGTGACGGGGGAGCCCATTCATGTTGGTGAGTTCCTGTTGGTCATTGTACAGTTGTATACACTTCTTTTAGCCTAACGCTTTGTTTCTGAATATATATAACTTTGACAGAAACTAATAATTCCTTTTGAACTGAATATGAGCCCCAGTGATATGTGAGATTCAGCCCTGAACCTGAAGAAATCTAGACTTGCTTCATTTAGGACTTTAGCATTGCAGAGAGGGAAAATAATGTGGTTCATTAGACAGACTAACACTTCTTCATACTTGGAGAATATTCCGGGATTGTAGTGAATATGCGGAAAATACATAGCAGATCAAGGATTATCAATCGACCCACTCATCCTACAGATTTCTCTGTTCTGAAGGTAGCGCTATCTGCTACTACCAGTATATATACCTGTTGCCATTATTCTGACAAAGGCTCAGAAACATGGGTTATTTTCCTTAGAATTATTGCCATGTAAGATGAATTCTTATTTAAATTGTAAATTAAATGAAAGAAATCTACCATCATTTTCATTTGTTGTCCAGTTGAGACAGTACAGAACCACCTGAGCTTGTTCACTGATGGTCATCGACATTCCGTGTCACCTGGTCACCCAAGTCTCCAGCGACAGTCTAGTACCTCCAGTGTGTCCAGTACCACCTCGGGTGTTGGGGAGACTGCCGTCACCAGTATTACTAATGGTAGGTACCTCCAGTGTGTCCAGTACCACCTCGGGTGTCTAATGGTAGGTACCTCCAGTGTGTCCAGTACCACCTCGGGTGTTGGGGAGACCGCCGTCACCAGTATTACTAATGGTAGGTACCTCCAGTGTGTCCAGTACCACCTCGGGTGTTGGGGAGACTGCCGTCACCAGTATTACTAATGGTAGGTACCTCCAGTGTGTCCAGTACCACCTCGGGTGTGGGGAGACTGCCGTCACCAGTATTACTAATGGTAGGTACCTCCAGTGTGTCTAGTACCTCCAGTGTGTCTAGTACCTCCAGTGTGTCTAGTACCACCTCGGTGTTGGGGACCGCTGCACCAGTATTACCAGTATTACTAATGGTAGGTACCTCCAGTGTGTCCAGTACCACCTCGGTGTTGGGGAGACTGCCGTCCACCAGTATTACTAATGGTAGGTACCTCCAGTGTGTCTAGTACCTCCAGTGTGTCTACCACCTCGGGTGTTGGGGAGACCGCCACCAGTATTACTAATGGTAGGTACCTCCAGTGTGTCTAGTACCTCCAGTGTGTCTAGTACCACCTCGGGTGTTGGGGAGACCGCCGTCACCAGTATTACTAATGGTAGGTACCTCCAGTGTGTCTAGTACCTCCAGTGTGTCTAGTACCACCTCGGGTGTTGGGGAGACCGCCGTCCCCAGTATTACTAATGGTAGGTACCTCCAGTGTGTCTAGTACCTCCAGTGTGTCTAGTACCACCTCGGGTGTTGGGGAGACCACCGTCACCAGTATTACTAATGGTAGGTACCTCCAGTGTGTCCAGTACCTCCAGTGTGTCTAGTACCTCCAGTGTGTCTAGTACCACCTCGGGTGTTGGGGAGACCGCTGTCACCAGTATTACTAATGGTAGGTACCTCCAGTGTGTCTAGTACCACCTCGGGTGTTGGGGAGACTGCCGTCCCCAGTATTACTAATGGTAGGTACCTCCAGTGTGTCTAGTACCTCCAGTGTGTCCAGTACCACCTCGGGTGTTGGGGAGACCGCCGTCACCAGTATTACTAATGGTAGGTACCTCCAGTGTGTCTAGTACCTCCAGTGTGTCTAGTACCACCTCGGGTGTTGGGGAGACCGCTGTCACCAGTATTACTAATGGTAGGTACCTCCAGTGTGTCTACCACCTCGTACCTCCAGTGTAATGGTAGGTACCTCCAGTACCACCTCGGTGTTGGGGAGACCGCTGTCACCAGTATTACTAATGGTATGTACCTCCAGTGTGTCTAGTACCTCCAGTGGTAGTACCTCCAGTGTGTCTAGTACCACCTCGGGTGTTGGGGAGACGGCCGTCACCAGTATTACTAATGGTATGTACCTCTAGTGTGTCCGGGGGCGGTGGGGTAGTCTAATGGTTAAAGCATGGTTAAAGACCCGGGTTCGAATCCCCACATGGGCACAATGTGTGAAGCCCATATCTGGAATATTGCTAAAAGTGGCGTAAAACCAAACTCTGTCAGTCTAGTGTGTCCAGTACCACCTCGGGTGTGGGGGAGACTGCTGTCACCAGTATTACTAATGGTGGGTAACTATTGCCTCCTTAATTGCAGGACCGCCTCCATGGTGTAGTGGTTAGAGCGTCCGCCCGCGGAGAGCGGAAGGTCACGGGTTTGATCCCCGACTGCGTCATACCAAAAGACGTTAAAATATGGTATTTGTTGGTCCCCGCGTGGCGCTCGGCATTAATGGGTACAACAAGGACTGGTCGACTCGGAGTCAGTATAATGTGTCTGAGTGGGGTATTCATGCTTCACTGCGGCATGGTATATCAGTGGGCTACTTAAACCAGCTTCAGTCTGGGCTAGTACAAACAGCCACACATACACATACACATGCATGCACGTCGTCATATGAGCGAAATTTTCTCAAGCATGACATTGAAAACCCCATTTCACCTCACCTTAATTGCAGTGTAATAATTAAACCTGAAGTTATAATGGTAATAGTACCATCAGGATTGTAAGACTGGACATTCTATCTATCACATATGTGCTTGATTGCACTAATTATTTGTGTTTTCAGTGACAAGTCGCTGGTGGGGTACGAAGCGTATCGACTTTGTGTTATACTGTCCTGAGGTTCTTCATTCGTTCCGACCAACGCCCTACCTCACCTCTTCCACGCCAGCTTCTGGGAGTCTACAGACGTTGTCGCCTTCATCCTCAGACAGGTACTAGGAGTTACAACAGTCAGCTGGTTTGGCATGGCATATGATGTGAATTGTCTTTTACACTACACGACTGAACAGGGTTTTTTGAAATTCAGATGATGCCTTTTATTGGATAGAAGATCCTCAACACCTAACATCTAGGAGAAAAGTCTGAATTGTTTGTTTCATGAATGCAAGCTGACACTTTCACAAGATAATAGTGCTTTCTGTGCAAACCAAGATAAACAAAACCAGCTTAAGAAATATTGAAAAATTTAGTACAATTGAGTTTACTTTGTGAAGAATATATTAGATTAATTTTCTTCTTTTTTTGTTTGTTCCTTTACTAAAAGTAGGATGTCCTGTTAATTTTTCAAACCATTAAACAAAAGTACAGTGTATTCATTAAGATTTTGAACTTGTGGCTTTGTATCTTAAGTTGCTGGTCCAAGAATTTCAGATTGGTAAAATTTCTGTTTGTCATCCAAAATGTCCTAAAGATATTTTCAGTTTTTTAATTTCATGTAGAAAGATTCTCGTTCATTTACAAATGTCCTAAGGAAATTTGTCTCCAGCAAATTCATTCAGACCATTGTTCATACAGTGGATTCTTCGATCCGGATTATAGCGAATGAGGTAATAATTAATGTCTCATCATCAATATGTCAGCCATACTGTGATGATGATCTGGGTTATATATCGTGTGCCCTGATATGACTGAGTGATGTTCACTCTCAGAGGAACACAATTAGGATTTATTTCCCTAGCCCAGTATTGCTGGTTTATCACTATCTGGTGATTTACTGATCAGGTAACACACCTGCTGTAAGTGATGCATGTGGTGATTACTGCACAGGTGTTGCGACATGATGCTGTAGCCGACTCTGACCGTACCGCCAGGGGAGCTGTGTCAACCTTCACCTTGGCTCACCCTCGTGAGAAGTGGCTGAAGCGCAGAACGACCATCAAAGTCCGGGTAAGTTTGGGACAGCTGCTGCTGTGTCAGTTCAATAGTAAAGGTGTGGGAGATGTTTATGGTCTAAGGGGAGACAACTTTTACATGCTGGTCAAGCTTCATCCGTACCTGGAAGTGGTACATTTGGCAGAGCTTCCTGCATTTTGAAACAAATTATTTACAAACTTACAAATTATCTGTCTTGTTTGTATTGATGCTGTATTCATGCTGAGTCATGATGATAAAGCAAAAATGAATACTCTCTTTGAGACTAATTAGAATATTTCTCTGATATCTGTAACTGTGTATGATTGTCTTGTTTATCTACAGGCCGCCATCAAAAAGCTTGAATGTCAAAGAGTGGTAGACTACCAAAACCTTCGAGTCTACTAGACCGAAAGTAGGCTTTTGGCATAATCCATAACAGATTTGTTAATATTACAGTATATTTATTTGGAGTTTTATTAACTTATGTTAATGGGCTTCACAGAATTATACTAAGCTGGGGCTCGTATCTTGTGGCAAATGTCATATACTGCTCTTATAGTAGAAAAGCTCAAGGAAACCAGGGCACACACGTGCACACGCACGCGCGCGCACACACACGCACGCACACACACACACACACACACTCCTTTCTTTGTTTAGAAAACTGTCTGTATTCAGGAAACGTACATTTTTCAGAATCTGCAGCCAAACCACCGAGCGAATGATGTGATTGTGTTGGAAGACAAGGCCCAAGTGTTGACGGGGAAGTTCATGTATGGCTCATTGGACATCACCTCACTGACAGGAGAGAAGGTGGGTGCTGACAGTAACTCTGGCTCTTCAGATCTTTGTCCCATCACTTATAACAGGTGTTCTTTCTGCGATAGTATTTGTTGTGATAAAATTTGTATATTTTCAAAGACGGGGATTTCATGAATAATGCTATGGTATAAGAAAATGATTCATTCTGCTGTGTTGGTGACTTTACTTTTGTATCATGTACCTTCTTGACAGTTACCACACAGGAGATAATATATTAACTAGCTGTTGTGGACTATCTGTCTTTTCAGTGGCAGTTGTTTTGTGTTAAACAAACTGAAAAATGCAAACATACTGTTTTTACCCATTTAGCATAAAGTCAAGTTTACAGTCTGGATGTTATGTTGATGGTTCTATCTACGATGTTCTAATCACAGGTTGATGTTTATATAATGACCCAACCTCCATCTGGGAACTGGGTTTTTATCGGGACGGAGGTGACGGACGGACATGGTCGACTTGTGTTTGAGATACCCATGGAGAAGAGACTAAATCAAGGGATGTACCCTGTCAAGATGGTGGTCAAGTAAGAGTAATTGTTTTGTAGCTCCTTTATAACTACTTACCCATGAAGATCCAGATTAGAATTGGGTTTCAGTAACCCATGCTTGTAGTAAGAGGTGACTAATGGTGTTGGGTGATCAGGTTAGCTGACTTGGTTGACACATGTCATCTTATCCTAGTTGTATAGATTGATTCATGCTGTTGATCATTGGATTGTCTGTCCAGACTCAGTTATGTACAGACACATGTCATAAAGCTGGAATATTGCTGAGTGCAGTGTTATACAACAAACAAACAAACAAACAAACAAACTTCATACCTAGTGAGCGTAAGTTCCCATTCCTGACTTGCTCGCTGAATCTTCCCCTCCCCTCTCCCTCCTCCCTCCTAATATGACTTTTAATTAAAGACTAATTTTTACAAATCCTAGTGTTTTAATATTTATATATATTTCAGGGGTGACCACACATCATGTGATTTTTACTTGACGGTGCTACCCCGAAGACAGAAACGGTCATCTTCAGCATCGATGGTTCCTTCACCGCCAGCGTCAGCATCATGGGCAAAGACCCGAAAGTCAGGGCAGGGGCTGTTGATGTTGTCAGGTACATACGTCTGCTTGAGGTCATCATTGACAACTGCTTAATGGCTTCCGGATATACAGTATCATGTGATGTAAAATATTTATGAAGTGTATATGGGGCAAAAAAACAATCTAAAAAAATTAATAAATTTGTAAGCTTACATTTTTTGCCAATAGGATTTTATATTTTGAGCGGGGAAAATTAATTTTTATTTTTGTTCTTATTCTTGAAAAAATACAACAGGCGGATCCGTAAAACTAGAAATAAAATTGGTCTGGCCTTATATATACTGAGTCAAAAAAGAAACTTCACAAAATGTAATTTGAAAAATAATGAATAATTTTTTTCTGATGATACATCTATGTATCTGAAATGGGATCCCTATCTTTCGACTCTAGAAAACCTTAGCAAAACCCACTCAAACCCATCCATTCGTCGTGCAAATGACGTTAGTGCCAAATCAGGTCTTGCACGTGCAGTCGATCACGTGAACTTCGCATCGAAGTTTTCTTCATATGCACGTGTTTGCATTGGCCTCAAGAATTGAAAAAACACTTTTAAACCACAGTTCTAACGGTACTTGAAATGCCACGATTGTCAAATGTGCAACGTGAACGTGCTGTTGGCATGTTGCAAGCGGGAAGATCAGTTTTTTAAGTCGCAAGAGCAATGGGATGCAGCCGTCGTACTGTGTATGACTTGCGAGGTCATCTACAACAAACTGGCACCACTTCTGATCGCCCAACGTCGGGTCGTCCACGTGTGACGTCACGAGCAGAAGACCGTCAAATCATCCTACGTCACCTACGTGACAGATTTCTGCCGCTACACGAACCAGGGCTGAGATGTTTTGAGGTTGACTGTCCTCGCAGACCATTCAAATCGGGTTCGGGCTGCCAATCTCCATTCTCGACGTCCATATCGCGGAGCCAATATTGACGCCGCTTTCATCAACGTCAACGTATGCTGTGGGCCCAACGTCACCTCCAATGGACCCAGAGAGACTGGAATCGAAGTCGCCTTTAGCGATGAATCCAGGTTTACCCTCAGATTCGCGGACGGCAGGCATAGAGTCTGGAGACGACGCCGTGAACGGTATGCCCAATGTTGTGTACAGGAAGTCGACAGATTCGGGGCGGAAGTTGCATGGTGTGGGGTGCTTTCTGTGGGAACAACCGTTCCCGACTTCTGGTCATCCGTGGAAACCTCACAGCTGCTGCTTACCGCGACCAGGTGCTCACCCCTGAACTCGTTCCTTTCATGGCGGCTCATGGCCCAGGTCTACAGTTCCAGCATGATAATGCTCGGCCGCATACCGCGATGTTGACACGAAATTTCCTTCAAAACGCTGGAATCAACGTCATGGACTGGCCATCGAGGTCCCCTGACCTTAATCCACTAGAGCACGTTTGGGATGCACTTGGGAGAAGGCTTCGTGGTCTTAGGAACCAACCTCAGAATTTGCAGGAACTTGGCGCTGCCTTGCAAGAGCAATGGCGCAGAATCCCCAACCACTGTTCACAAGCATCAGGCAGTCGATGAGGAGACGGTGTTTGGCAGTGGTGAATGCGCGGGGCGACCATACACGATATTGAACTGAGAAATTTCGCATTTTTATTCTTGTGACTTGACATTCTGTATACCCATGTTTTGGAACGGCGGTGTAGCCTAATGGAACTGATTATGGCACTGTCAGTGTATCGAGTACATCACACAGATCTCAGCAATGAAATAATAACAATTTAACCATCTTACCATCTCTTGTTGTTTTATAGTGCCCTGAAGAAAGAATGTGAAGTTTCTTTTTTGACTCAGTATATATACATAATTAGATGCACAACAAATAAGTATGAAATCAGGGAAGAATGGTAACATTCATTTCCATCACTTACCCCTAGGATTGGTATGCCATGTACCAACCAGTGCATTACTGTGGAGCTGGGCTATGATGGTGTGGCAGATCTATTCACTAGATCTTGATGCTGTCCTGGGAGAATGTTAAGCATTGTTTTACTCCAGGGTGATGTTTCAGACACTGGCAGGAGCTGGGTTATCTGATCATGTACGGCCAGACATGCATTGTTTTACTCCAAGGTGATGTTTCAGACACTGGCAGGCGTGGCCGGACATGTTGTTTTAGTCCAAGGTGATGTTGTTTCAGACACTGGCAGGAGCTGGGTTATCTGATCATGTACGTGACGGCTCGGCCAGACATGTTGTTTTAGTCCAAGGTGATGTTGTTTCAGACGCTGGCAGGAGCTGGGTTATCTGATCATGTACGTGACGGCGTGGCCAGACATGTTTTTTTAGTCCAGGGTGATGTTTCAGACACTGGCAGGAGCTGGTTATCTGATCATGTATGCGTGACGGTGCGGCCAGACATGTTGTTTAGTCCAGTGTGATGTTGTTTCAGACACTGGCAGGAGCTGGGTTATCTGATCATGTACGCGGCGCCACGGCCAGACATGCAGCACAGGAAGGTGGTGTCCTGGCTGGCCAACCACAACTTCCCACACGGCATGGTGGCATTCATGGATGGTTTCTCCAAGGACCCACTTCGACAGAAGCTCAACTATCTCAAAGCTTTGCAGAATGAGGTAATTCATACTAAACTGGAGTATTGTTAAGTTCAAAACATGCTCACGGCAGATAACTTTACAAAACTTCTACCTCTATCATTGCCCGAAAATGAGTATCCACAACTATCGGTAGTTGTTCCTGCACTAGCACCATCAGACAATAGTGTTTCAATGTACAGAGGCAGAATAATCCTCACTTCTCTCCAAACATCTCTCATCAAGCGACAGATGATTAGGGAGATGGAACATGGGAGGGAGTACTGATATAATAGAGGTGGTATCTTAGAATTATTAAATCGATAATTGTTTGATTTTTACAAAGTACAACAATGCTTTTCCAAACTTTGATGGAACTGAGATTTGTATTCTTGAAGTTATCTTGCTGAGATAATAAAAGGTAGGAACATGGCAAATGTGGGCATGTATAATATACCTAATAAGAAAAAATTCAGTGTTTTACCGTGAATTGACCATGTCACTGTACAGCTGTACAAATTGTTGATTTTATGTTCAACTAAAACCGACTTTTTATCACAATTTATTTGTTCTTGTCACAGTATGGATGCAATATTGCTGATGTAATGTAAACTAATAACTCACTCTTCTAGGCTCAGATAGTGTACAAGTCAGCGTATGGCTCCAGCAAGGATATCTCCCTGTACAAGGACCTGGGTGTGGCTGTGCCACAGATCTTCATTGTGGGCAAGGCCTCCAAGAAACAACATGCTCAAGCTCAGGTAGGGAGGGGCGCGGTGGGGTAGCCGAGTGGTTAAAGCATTCGCTCGACATGCGGAAGACCCAGGTTCGATTCCCCTCATGGGTGTAATGTGTGATGCCCATTTCTGGGGTTCGCCCACTGTGAAATTGTTGGAATATTGCTAAAAGCATGATAGAACTAAACACAATCACTCACTCAGGATTGATGCTGTTGTCACTAGTGTGGGTTTGTCAGTCTCACTGACTGTCAAGGTCCAAATGGACTGCCTCCGTGATCTAGTGGACAGACCATCTTCTTAGACAGAGGAAAGTAAGTGGTTTGATCCTCAGCTGTAAAATTGGAGTTAAAAATAGTACTTGTTGTTAGAGTGCTTGATGCTGGGAGAGGATAAGGCAAAACAAAACCCTGTAACATGGTATCTCAGGGGACTTAACTGTGACCCGTATGCACACACATGCACACACACTTTGTTCACTAGCTGTGGTTGATGCATTTCATTATCAACATCAGTACAGATCCTTATACATTTGTTTGAATTTCCTATTAAGGACTGGGGAGGTGGGGTAGCCTAGTGGCTAAAGTGTTCCCTCGTCACGCCAAAGACCCGGGTTCAATTCCCCACATGGGTACAATGTGTGAAGCCCATTTCTGGTGTTCCCCACTGTGATATTGCTGGGATATTGCTAAAATCAGCATAAAACCCAACTCACTATTAAGGATTAACCTCTATTGAGATGAATTTTCATTTCATTTGATTGCCTACTTCAAAAAAAGTCACCATTACCTATCTTCATTTTTTTCTATCTGGATATGTTAATGTTTCTTATATGTCACGCTTCCATATGTTTTGGACAGATCATATCAGATGGCTATGCCGCACATCTAACAGACCTGATGTCACCAGGAAGGTCAAGGCCAGCTGTTGGGAATGCCAGGATGTTCCTGAGGAAAAGCTGCTTCCGACTTCCGCGCCCTCAAGAAAATCGGAAAATGACAAAGCGTACGACTTCTTTCCCCTGCCACGGAACAACAACAGCAGATCTGCTCAGTAGCGCCGAGTTCACCCAGAATGTCACCACCAAGATTACCGTCACAGACACAGCTGCTGCTGACCAGGGCTCAACATCACCAACGACAGACAAACAAATTGGAAAGTCCCCCTCCACAAAGAAGCACTACAGTCGCACAGAATCAGCTGTGTAATTTGACTGCTGGGCATCAGCTTGTTCCTTCTACTTGGGTGTAAACACTGCTTCCTGTAGCGGAGTTGGATGTTGTCATGGGACTGCTCCCAGTCTCTCATCAATCGGCACAAGAAGAATCACTTGGTGGCCACAGCTGTGTCCGAAGCTGTACCTCAAGTCACATTGGCTGTGTATGAAAACATCGTGGCTTTAGAGGAGGGTAGAAAAAATGATGAATGAACTGTCAGGTTAATCAGGAATAGTCAGTTACAACCTGGTATTATTTATGACAATTTCATCCTTTATTTGCCCCATAGGGAGATATACAGAATGAATTTATGAAGGTGATGTTGTTTTTATGAAATAAGAGGATCAAGAGTGTGTGTTGGAGCAGGTTTGGGATGAAACTGTCGTAGATCAATACTCTGGTTGTTATTTGTGTGAAATGGACAGGCGATTGAAGCATGGTTCGGTGTCTGTCAGGTGATACATTTCTCAAATGTAGATGTAGAATTTGTGCTGCATGAAGGACATTCATGTGTTGGCAGAATGTCAATCATGACTTGTTCATGAGAAAAACAGCCAAACATTTTACATTTTGTTGTTACTGTTATTTATTCATGTATATAATGCTGTTCATCGATATTATTTATTAATTGTTCAGATGATTTATTTTGACAAAATCTTATCAATGTTTCAAGAAGGTTCTCCCAGTTTCTTAGAGAGGAACAAGTAGATGTTCAGAAATTACTTCATAGAAGGACATTACAAGCAGTTCTTTGTTTATATGTATGTATTCAAGAGTTATTCTGGGTCACGGTCCTGCTCTGAATCATGTCCTTGATAATGTTTTTGGTCTTATTGGTAATGTCATGGTTTGGTCTAGCCCTTGCCCTTGCCCATGTTCAAACTTGGGGCTTGTGCTAAGACCTGTTCCAGGTCTGAACCATGTGCTTGAAGTAGGTCCTTGCTTGTGCTAGGTCTGAACTGTGTCCTTGCAGTAGGTCCTTGCTTGTTGTAGGTCTGAACCATGTCCTTGAAGAAGGTCCTTGCTTGTGCTAGGTCTGAACCGTCCCTTCCAACAGCGAAGGCGACGCTTATCTGGTTGATCCTGCCAGTAATCATATGCTTGTCTCAAAGATTAAGCCATGCATGTCTAAGTACCAACTCTAGCACAGTGAAACTGCGAATGGCTCATTAGATCAGTTATGGTTCCTTAGACGATACAATCCTACTTGGATAACTGTGGCAATTCTAGAGCTAATACATGTCCTTGAAGGAGGTCCTTGCTTGTTGTAGGTCTGAACCATGTCCTTGAAGTAGGTCCTTGCTTGTGCTAGGTCTGAACCATGTCATTGAAGAAGGTCCTTGCTTATTCTAGGTCTGAACCATGTCCTTGAAGATGGTCCTTGCTTATTTTAGGTCTGAACCATGTCCTTGAAGAAGGTCCTTGCTTGTTCTAGGTCAAGTCCAAAGTGTTGTTCTTGGTTGAGGGCATGTACTAGATCTATGCCCTTGTTTGGTTCAGATGCTGTCCTTTGTTAAGGTTACAGCCAAAATCTCGTCCCAGGTCTTGTTCTGGGTCAGTCCTCTTGGAAGAGGAAGGGAAGAGAGTGGCATGTTTTGATTGAGTTATTTTCAACTACTCATTATTTATCTGTGATTATTGACGTCTCTTTAAACATTATTGCCACGTACTCAGAATACTGTCCGTTCATTTTCACCAGTCTTGTTATCGAGCTGCACAACATACAGCATTGCTACATTTCCACACCATCACCACACGTTTGTCCTGTCCTTATGTATACACACACATAAAGGTTTCTGTTTTCTATGTATATGAGCTGTGTTTTCTTGAAATGTCGGCAGCTTTTATCACCAACTGCTTCGTTGTGTTTAGTACCAATATTCTGCACGATGGATGTGGTTAATGTTGTGTGATGTGTTGTGTGATGTGTTGTGTGTGATGTATGGTAAGAGGAAGAATGTTAAGAATGCATTTTATCATGTTCTTAAACATTCATCAAATTATTTATTTGGATACAAATGTATGTTTTAGAATACTTTATTTGTAGTGTGTCTCATATATCAATGATTATCACTTGTAACAATGAAATCACTTTATATTAAGCAGTCAGATTGTAGAATGTTAAGGAAAGTCTGACTTGTTGTTAGGTGAATATCATCTTTATGAATGACAATTGCAAGGAGTACTATGTACTCCTCTCATTTCTGTTGAAAGTTGGATTCATCCAAGGACACCTTGGGTTAACAGCCTGGGCCTAGATTTTTGAAGCTCTCTTAGCGCTAAGATAGTCGTAAGTGCCATACCCTAACATTAACTTACGACTATCTTAGCGCTAAGGGAGCTTCGAAAATCTAGGCCCTGGAATGCAACAGTTTCCCTGCAGTTGTGTCACAAATATTTGTTGTGTTTGGTTTATTCTCTGATTTTTTATCACAGTGATTTTAATTCATAGTTTACACGTGTTCAAAGAAAAGTCATGTCATAAAAATCTCACTGATATCACTCATAATTACTTCAACTCATCCTTGTGAGTTATAGTGCTCTTGTTAATGTTGCCAAAGAATCATTGCTCAAATAGAAAATCCCTACAAATGGTGATGTTTTGTTACCATGGTGATTGCACAGTTGCTGTTCTCGGTGGATAATATTCAAATGTTGCCATTGGATACATTTTTCATGTAAGAAAACTTTTTCAGTGTCTTTTTTCCCGTTATTTGTGGCTTACTTTTGAAAAAAATAAATTGTTTAGGTAAAACGATTAACCTGCAGTTGGTATAAGTGGCACACAGATAATATTGCAAGTTTACGACAAAGTGATGGACACGGAAGAACCAGAAAGCAGGTTTAACAGGAATACTGTGACTGATGTAATTACCAAGTTTGACCAAGTTGCCGAGCATTCCCAAGTTAATCCTGATCTCTGTGCTTATCACAAGGACAAGAATACTGGAAATACTGTATTGCCTCTAATAAGCACGGGTTGTGCCACATGTTTACAATGGAGTTTTCAAATAAAATATATCTGGTGTCCCCCGCTGTGATGTTGCTGGAATATTGCTAAAAGCGGCGTAAAACCAAACTCAGTCAGTCAGTCAAATACAATACCAATTGAAAATCTATATTTATTTTCATTGAAACTTTGAGCGCCGGGTCTATAATAAGCGCCGGCCCTATTAAGCTCTGGGTCTGGGAGTTTGCTGACTTAATAAATGCCCAAACACTTATTAGAGGAAATATGGTATGTATACAGTTCATTTGTTTTAATATCAAGGATTCTGACATGTCCACAGTGCCTGCAATTAAATCATAAAACAGTTGTTCCAGACAATGATGTACAAACTATAAACTTGGCTTCTTGGAACTGTCATCTGGACTGTCCTGAAAACTGTGTTGTAGATTACGCCCCCCAAAAATATATGTCCGTTTCCTATTACATGCTTTTTAAAAAAAGGGTAGCTGGGTCAGTTTTTATCTTCTTCTTTTTTTACTTTTTTATTTTATTTAATAGTGGCACCAGCTGGGCACCTGAGGTCTTCAAGAGTACCATATCATGTAGTGACAATGCCTTATGATGAAACATTGGAAGATTTCTATATCAAATCATTATTCATGTTATTTATTTGCAGATTTGGTCAGTGAGGACCCATTATGCCAATTCAATGCAATCCATTTTAGCCCTACGTACAATGAAAAACATGAAAATATCATACACGATTTGGATGAAAATGATGAGTTGAAATGCACTCCAGTCATGATATTGACTTGGTTAAAAAAAGATTTAGGGTCGGGGGGTTAGGATAGGGTCGGTCGGGTTACCGGAAACGGACATATTTTTTGGGGGCCTTAAACAATATTTGGCTCATCCTTTCAGTAGTATAGGGTTTGTTTGGAAGCTTTGAATAAATCTCAGACAAATACCATCTGATGTGTCTCCAAGGATATTAATGAATGTAGCAGTTATCATCTTTACTTGGGGAATAAGAGTGAAAAGGCATGTAACTTTAATCAGGATTCAGCTCTGATAATAATGTATTTGTGCCCTGTCTTCGGCAGAGATATTCCAGATTAGAACTGGAACTTGTGACAGGGAAGCTCTCTGTATTAGTGCCATGTCCTATAGTTCCATACTTCTCTGTACACCACGCCAGAGAGATTCCAGGTTAGAATTGGTTCTCTGGAACTTATGAAAGCCCTTTCTTGATGGCTGAAGCCCTTTTTGATATTACTGAAATATTGCTGAAAGCAGCATAAAAGCAACTGGCATCTACACCCACATGAATAACGTCAGTTACAGTGAGTTTAGGATATTCGGGACATGCTGTCAGTAACTTGTGAGAGAGTAATGGCTACTGCAGGATTGTGTACAAGAAATTTGTTGCAGGTTTAGTCAGGGTCGCTGCAACAATTCATGGAACTGTCTATACATCACGTGTGTGTATGGCCTGACATGTGTATGACATAATTCAATTGTTGACATCGATGCTGTGATAGAGTGTCAGTAGTTTCAAAAGAGGTAACTTATTGACAAAATTGTTGATCAACATGTTTAGTAAATACTTGTCTTTTTTGGTGATAGAAAATAGACCTTGTTTGTATGTAGTATATATTCAGAACATGTACTTAGAACTTCAGATTGGTGACAGAGGCCACTATTTACTGCCCACAGTTGCCTCCCTTAGATATGACACGATCCAGATATGCAGTGATTTTTTCAGTTGATTTTTCAGCATCACACCCTTACTCTTTGGTTCACTAAAGAAGTAAATTGTCTTACATTGACGCACTTTAGTCTTTCGTTCTGGATATTCATAAAGCTGATACTGTGTAATAATTGAAGTACTGTTCAAGTTCGGGTAAAACCCAAATTGCCGTCTCATTTTAAATAATTTTTATTGCTGCCTCATGTTACTGTCCTGAGTCCTGAGGAATCTGCTGCACAAAGTATCCCATGGGATTCTGGGTAATATAGGTCCCCAGCAGAGAATGGTACTGGTTGTAGGGAGATCTGTGTTCATGATGTCAGTCACCGGGTTCTCCTGATTATGATGGTTTTTGGGTCGGTGGGGTAGCCTCGTGGTTAAGCGTTCGCTCGTCACACCGAAGACCAGGGTTCGATTCCCCACATGGATAAAATGTGTGAAGCCTATTTCTGGTGTCCCCTGCCACGATATTGCTGGAATATTACTAAAAGCAATACTCATGATAGTTTTCAGTCTGCAGACATATGGTGGGAGTAGTACTGAGTCAGTGAATCGAAGAATGGTGGCCATCTTGCAGATTGCTTCGATGAACAGGGTCCAACAGGTGATGGTGTTGGTTTGGATTTAAGTCACTATTTTATGTGGTGTATGGATTTATGTTGAGCCCGAAACTACAGGTCTGATATATCCCAGGATGTGGTAACAGTCGGCATTGCTTCTGTTTCTGTACAGGCACATTACTGAAAACGGCAATCAAATGGTTATTGTTGATTTGTCATAGTTTAGTTTTGATGTATGTGACTGATGGACCATACACAGATAGCAGGGTTTCAGATGGGTTCAGGAGCTATAGTCTGTTTGCAGTGAAAATGTACCGATGAATTTCACTTTAAACAAAAAAGTAAATCAAATAAAGTGAAAATAAGATTGTGAATCCTCGTGATTTTACCTTGCCAACTGAACATGTAAATCTCAGAATTTTATCCAACTTAGAATAAAAGTTGTTTAACAAACGATCATAGTTTCAAATCGCTATTATTGGTTTGTATTACAAGGAGGTATGCACATTAAATGGAACCCCGAGAACAAGAAGGGTTGGTTTCTACGGTAGTCTAAGTTAACGTTCATCACACACCGCACGTGCATTTGTTTCACTGTTCCAACTACTGCACTTACCCCCTTGTAATAGAAACCAATAATAGCGATTTAAAACTATGATCGTTTGTTAAACACCTTTTATCCTAAGTTGAATAAAATTCTGAGATTTACATGTTCAATTGGCAAGGTAAAATCACGAGGATTCACAATCTTATTTTCACTTTATTTGATTTACTTTTTTGTTTAAAGTGAAATTCATCGGTACGTTTTCACTGCAAACAGACAGTAGCACTGATTGTGCCCAAAATGTTCTTGAGATTCAGTTCAAAAGTGGCATTGTGTCATGAGAAATTGGTAAAACCATGAAAATGAGTGAAAAAATTCCTTTTCCATTGTTTCCAACAAAATCACCATGTTTGGGTTGAATATTTGTCAAACCCCACG